GATGGCCGAAGTGAGAAATATTCTGACAGATGTCAGTTCTTGACAGTAATTACAGTAATATGTATATTCTTTATTTTATACTGCTTAGTTTGACAGCAAAATCTTTTATTTTTTCTAGGTACTAAAAATGTGACAAAAAAAAAGTAATTTGAAAGTTTCAAGTTTATATTACAAAAGTGACATAACAGTAGCATTATTTCTTGTGGCATAATAGTATATACTTTAACCCGTACAGTGATCTATCTATATGAAATAGTGCCATGAACATGAACATGTTTCTTACTAAGATTATCTTGAAAATGAAAACATTCTTTAATGGCTTTCAAATAAATGTAATGTGTTTTTACGTCCTGACTTTGACTAGCATATGAATATCATATTGACGAAGCAAATATTTAATGTTTGGTGTTAATATAATTGAACTGCTCTCGTGAACGGCTTCAATCAATTTCGTTAAGTAGAATATTAACTATAGATTTTTTTTTGCTTCAGAATATTGTCATATCCTATAGTAACTGGAAATACTTTTCAATTTTTGTATAAATTAATTTATTTTTAATAATATTATTAATAATGATGATGTTATGTTGTTAGTCTCCCAATAATAAAGTATTTCACCACAGTAGGTGGATTTTTAAGCTATTAAATTTAATTTTTTTTTATTAGGATTTTAATAGTTTTTTTTTTTTTTACAAAATTTAATTATGGAATTATTTATTGAGTTATTTAATCTGCTTCTCTCCGACTTAATAGTGTGGAAATTATTATTATGATAAATTTACCTGTACGTGTATGTTGTAAAATAGGAAAACAAAAATTTAATATTGGCAGTGTGTGTAAAAAAATTTACGATTATTTTTTTTTCCCACCAAGAATTAATTTAATTAAGTTGTATATGATTTTATTTAAATTTAAATCTAAAATAGGAAAAAAAATAATTTTTTTTTTATATTGATTTTTATTTTTCAGATGACGAAAGAATAGCAATTTTGTATAATTAAAATTAAATTTAACCAAGATTATAAGATTTTGTGAAGGTCGCGAAGAAATAAAATGAAAGTATTACCGGCTGTTTGTATTTATTGACCAACATATTTATGACACATAAGAGAAATAGGTGAATAAAAGATAATTAAATTAATTTTTTTTTATAAATTAAAAATAGTAAATAAAATGTTTCCGATGTAATTTTCTATGGGCCTAATAACGTTGAGCGAACGTCTTTATTTTCTGATCAATCAAGATCAAATGTTGTTATATGCTAGAATTGTGTGATGTTATGCAAATGGAAGTTGGATAATTTATTTCAATGAGCTTGTGTAAAAGAGAGTTATACACAAATGACTTCCCGCTTCTCATGCAGTCCAGAAATGGTGTTTAAAGAATTGAATTATTCATAATATAAAATTTTTTAATGTTATTTTCAAAATTTTGTTTATTCTCGAGACCGATTCTGATAAATGCGAGTATATTGTGTGAGTAGTCCTTTTTACGCAACCATCAAGAGGCTCTCTTCTTCTCTGAATCAATGCTCAACACTTACCAAAAAGTTTGCCCACAAAAACTCCATGTTTCAAGTTTCGCCTTTCAGTTTCAACATCCTCATGCGACCCCTAAGTCGGCAGTATTCCGTTAGAAGATCTGTGAGTATTCGCCTCTCGTTCTACTCATTTGTACCATTCTTCTATATGGCTTCTGATCATAATTGTCCAGAAGCTCCTTATCCTGCCTCAGGTAAGAAGGGATTCACCATAATTCCGGGTGTAAGGCTAACACTACACCAAATTAAATTAAAATTATATGAGAAAATTGTTGTACGTATTGTCGATGCACGTCTCCTGATATGAAAAATATCGTAAATTACTAAGAGATAATTACTTTAGAACTTTTAATTAAATATTGTTATTAATTTTGTATGTATAACAGTTGTGATTAAAATATTGTTTTTGCAAATCACGAAATCACATGGAATTTTAATTCAATAATAACAATTGGACAAATCATGTTTTCCTAACTTAATTTATGAGTACATAAGTCAACGATAATAAAAAATTTAATTTTCTTCTTTAAAATTGCAATTTTAAGTAGATCATTTAAACTTTTTCTATTTTATATGAGTTTTCTTTATTTATAACAGCTGCCCAATTGAATATATGTACGCATATAGAGTGGATCCATTTATTGTGTATTTTAAAGGAGACCATGTTATATTTGTACTTAATTTTGTATTCTTTTAAAGTACTTTCAATAAGAAAAAAAGAAAAACGCAAATACTTAATGATGTCAACTTTTTTTTTTTGTGTATTTTTTAAATAAATTGTAAAATAAAAAAAAAACTTATAAATTGTTATGTCAAATCAATTCCTTTTTTTTTTCTCTTTCTACTTAAACTTAAATCCTTTAAATATAATATTATAAAAAATATCATATCAAACTGTAAGGACGAATATAATGTACATTAAAAATTTTGTACAGATGACTGTACAAAACTCTTGTAAAGGATTTAACAGCGTTTCTCCAAATTTAAAGCATAGTCCAATTGTTGAATTTGAGTTGTCCGCTATAAAGCTGTGGAATATAAGTTATTGGGCAGATAAATTTTCAACCTTTCGTTGAACTCTCAACCAATACCTGGGTGTCAAAAATGACTTCATTAAAATTATTTGTGCGAGAACATGAAAATTAATCATTTTCTTTTGTGTTCTTGTATTGCTCAATTAGATTATAGTTAAGAATATGCCAAAGATATTAAAAATTTCGGAATTTTAATAATTGTAAGTGTATATAACAAAATTAAATAGATGATATTATGAGTATTTTTTGTTATTATGACGAAAAATGTGAAGGATATGTAAATTTCAGAAATTCAGCGAAAAACTTAGCGTTTTTTTTAATAAAGTCACTGCTTGTCAGAAATATTGCTAATTAATTATTTTTTATAGATTTTTAAAAATATATCCATAAATTTACAGACAGATCCAAAATATAAAGTTTAATTTTGTAAGCACATATAAATATACCACATATATAAATGAACTTTAGACAACGCGCAATTTTCGCGCAATATTTGAGAAACACTTATTATTTTTATTATTATTATTATTTGTAACTGTATTATTTTTCTGTAGAATACATGATAAGGCAGTCAAATTGAAGTTAAAATTAAAAAAAAAAAATTATTTTTATATAATTTTTTTTTTTAATATTAAAACTTCAACAAAAGTACACGAGCATATCAAGTACATAGTAAAAGTTCTGTCATTTCTTTGGGGGAGAAAAAAATATTTGGTTTCTCCTTCATCTCATCGGTCATTTCAATGCAAAAATTGTATGTAAATATTATGTACAATGGCATACCAAAATTTATTTTACAGAAATAAGCAGTAAATACTTGATTCGATTTTTATTTAAAAAGATTTATGCACTCTTTTCCGAAATGTTGATCAAGTTATCAGCATTTCAAGTAAATTAGGTTTTATGAATAGATTTTGTATCTTAATTTGCAAACAAGAAAACAGTCTGTTAAGACCATCAATAACCATAGTCATGAAACGAGACTAAGTTCGAATCCTATATAAAAAACTTTGCAATACACAGAAGGACGCGGTAAAAAATCTATTCCTTGATATAAGCACAGGCGGTTCGCGTATTATTTATAAATCTCTAGCCTATTATTTATAAAGTTTCGATAGTAATTATGTGTTGCCATTTCAGTCCAAGAAAATCACCTAATCTCTTCTAATATGAAGATATACGATGACATCGACAAGGAAACAGCAGGAGTCATAATTGACTTTATTATTTTCATATTCTACTAATAAGTTTTCTAAACTATTCTTAATGTTCAAATAATATTATAGGCAACCGTATATATTAAAAAAGTTGACAACACCTCCCCAATTTCAATTCTCAATACAAACTATGTAGGTATATAAATTGGAAGGAAAAAGAAGAAAAACATTTCTACCACCTACTCTATATGCAATTCTCATGCAAGAACTAAAAACTCCTTGATCGTAATTTTATATTCTTCTTCTTCTTCATTGACCTTAACTTGTGATACCCTTAAGAAATATTATTTTCATTTCTTTTCTTGTTTTCAATTCTCTTTCAGTTCACAAATTATTTTTGTATTCCTTTTAGATAACTTCTTGTTATTTCTCATTGATGACTTGCTGATTTCTTATATAAGATATGTCAATTCAATATTATACAACAAGATTTTGTACAGCATAAATTTCGAATAACAACAAAATAAGAAGATTTTGTTTTCTGACATATTTTATTCCACAATAGTATAGCGAATACAAAATGTTTGTTCTTCAAAAGAAATATTCAATGTTCTTCCAATCAATTTGTATTATATAAGGTTGTTTTGTAAAAAAAAAAATGACAAACTATAAGATTTGAAACTTTTTTTTAACATTGTTGTATAAGATTCTGTAAATAAGTTGTTTAACTTGAAGTGATTCAAGAAGAGCAAGAAGTTGAATGAATAGTTTATAAGAAAAAAAAATGACCACAATAGAAATAATGTCATTGATAACAATGGCATGGCATTTAATTTTTTTTAATTGTAAATTTGTTCCGAGAAAAAAGGAAAAATTAATTTTTAAATTTTTTTTTTCATTCAAGGAGTTTTTGGAAAAAAAGAGTCATTGAGAAAACAATAAAATGAACTTAATTTCTTATTTGAAGGTTTAATTGAGACCCAGCCAGTTAAACGTGCAGCTACAAATGAGTGGATGAGAGTAGCAAAGAAAATATTAATAAATGCAATGCTATGGTCGTTTGGTTGACGTAACAGATGCAGAAGGTACACTGCACCCCAATTAGCACAAATGTGCCATCAGGTTATCATTGAGCGAAAAATTTCAGGTGGCCTATCTAAATTATCCCATTCTTTTGAGAAATCTATTCAAATGCGCGATGCTAATTTTCGGTATCTCGTCTAGCACCGTAACACATGCAATGCATCACGCGATCAGTCTGGCCCCGCCAAAATTTCTGTCAAGTATTACAAAAATTTGCTTTAGATTCATTTGAATTCTTCTTCCCCATGGAAATCTTTAATAAAACGCAAAAGGTTTGTTCGAAAATTGGAAGCTATGCAACGCTATAGAAATGTTCATTCTATATGAAAGTTGCCATTGTTGTTTTCGCCCTTACCCTGCAAATTCCCAATATGCCAAATAACCTTTATACACTGTAAAAGCAAATAAGAATAATATAAATATATAGTTTAATCAAAAATTTCTGACAATGACTTTCCAATCCACACGGATTTTCAGTGTGTCTTGATATCCTTGAATAATCAATAATGGTTAATATTCAAGAAATTCACTATGACAGTAAAAGGCAATTAATGAATAACTTAAGGTAGAAAAATTGAATTTTATTTAAAGATTTTAATTTAAGCATCCAGGATTTGGAGATTGCCTTAAAATACAATTTCCAGCTCTCAATGTTGCTCCTCTCTATCCTATTTGAGTAGAATATGCTTTTTCAGTTCTAAATCGTCGGGCTGAGAATCTTAATACCATAATTTTTCCAATATTTTTTTTTTGTTTCATCGTCTTTGTATGCCTCTTATCACAATGTTAGCAGCACCTTATTTATTCTCATATTTACTCATAACCTGGAATTTTTCTTCTTTAATCCAACTGGTTTTTCCTTTAAAACAAAACATCTTATTTGGAAACAAACTGTCGGAATGGAGGATGTTTATAATTTGGGGGAAATTATTTTGAAATAACTATAGAAAAGTACTCAGTAATAATAAAAAAAAATTCATATAACAATTACAATTGATAGTTTTGTAATACCTACATAATCTTTAAATTTGTGTAACTCCTTAAACTTTACACTCGTATACTTTCAACAATAAGATAAAACAATTGTTCCACTCACACTCTGTTCTGTTCTCCTACAAAATGTAAAGATAATTTAAAAGTTTGTGTCCACTCTCTTGCTATCTTTTATTGAATCACTATAATATATACTAATCGGATTTATCTATATAATAGAAAAGTAAAATGTTCAATTTAGAAATTTTTATGGCAATCATCATTTAAAGTAATAAGATTTTAAGATAATTTTTATATATATATATAAAAAATGTTACTAAAAAAATTTTTTTTTATCGTAAAGGATTCCCTTCTTTTTGTTTTTAAAGTAAAATGTACACAGATTTTAATTCTACAATGACCATTTACAATTGTGCCAATGAGAATATAAGTACTTGCATATACGTACATGTAGAATGCAAGCTGATGATAATAAACAAATGGGACAACAAGAAAAAATTAAAGAGTAGCTTACATGACACATGATGTCTCTACGTTTACATTTGTGTATGCGTAAATGTATAAATACTCTATGTACATAAATCAAGAGTAAATTCCATCATCATACATAACATTTTCATATAATATATGTATATACATATATATGTGTATATTTGTTGAAATTAAAATCCTTATATTATATAACATTATAATCTTTTCAACTTTTTCGTAAGAGGACAATAAACGATGAGAAATACAAATGAATATATCAATTTGAATGAATGTTGAATTGCAGGGTAGCTTCATACACACATCCATACATTTATACGTCCGGTAGTTTTTATATTTGAAAAAGTAGTAAACAGTGTTGGGGTGTTCGTTTGTAAATGGAAAAAAAGAAATTGAACAAATGAAATTATATTGTGTATAAGAAAAATGACAAGAATCACCGAAAAAAATACATTTAAATGGAAAAATTTTATATTATACTTGTATATAAAGTATGTATGCAAGTATGTATGCTTATATAATTGTACAATGATATAAATCACTCAAGAACTGACCGCAGTTTCAATGAATTGCTCCCATCATTGATGTGACACCAAATATATGCATATTATATTGCCATTTATGCATAATATAACAGTTATATATAAAATATACATACATATACAATCATTTAATTTAATTCAGTTTTAAATAAAAGAGGATATGAGATTTGTTGGTAAAATCATCGCAGAATCAATAGACATTTTATTACTTTTGTCAGACAGACATCTTTATTTTAAAGTTAAATTTTAATTTAAGTTCGAATTATTTTTTAGAGAGCAGGTTATTCGAAAATATTCAACATACCAAACACCTAACAGCCGATATAATATAAAGAACTTTATTTGAGATGAATATTTGTTCATATTTGTGCCGGTAGATGGCTTATATTTTTATACTTAATACTAAATTTATGTGTAAATATTTACTCCTTGCCTAACAGTATTTCAATATTACAATTGCTTCTACGACAATTTTGAGTGTTGTGCCACTAAATTAAACGTAATAATTACAATTTTATCATAATACTTCTTCATATTTGAGAAATCATCAATGAAATTTCTACTTACAACTAAAATAAGTGGACCGACAAAATTACACCCATTTAGATATTTTAAAAATTCTTTCTATTGCAAAGAACACTGCGGTTTAATTAAGTTGTTTTGCACATTTTTATGCACCATCTTATCTACAGTCTAAAATAATTTTACATCTTTATAAAAATGTCTTAAATCGTATAATCTGAAATCTGAATACAGAATACTACCAAACAGTTTAAATTAAAGATTAAAAACGTTGTGGTGGACCCTAAGATCTTAACAAAATGAAGATAAAAAGAAAACGGGCTAAAACTTTTTTGAAAGGAGAAGAATATTGTAATTGATATTGAAATGATTTTCTGATTGTCCCTTGAATTCTCTGAATTGTTTTCCAAAATTATTGCTTTATAATGATATAATTGAGAAAAAAAACTTGTATGGGATGACTTAATTTCTTTCTTGCTTGTTTTCTTCAAGGATTTTATGTCTGATGAGAAAAAATAGAACGAAAATAAAATTTTAAAAGGAATTTTGTAAAATTGTAGTCAAAACAACATACACACTTTTTAATTATTTTGCCATAAAAATACAAAATTATGTTGTGGCTATCGAGAATTTGTTTTTAAAATAGGACGTAAGGACGGTGTCTGGTACGATGAACTGATGCACTCATGAATTTTATATTCTTGTATAATAGAATGAGTTCAGAAGATTGTCAAATACTTCAAAATAGGTTTTCTATTTTAATTCCCTGTAAGAAGGGAATGGTTGAGTAAAGAACATAACAGTTTACAGTTCAATTTATGAATTTCTCGTAAAGTGAAATTCGTCGTCTTCAAGTGTGTATTTCATGAATAAATGAAAAATTGCTAGAACCGCTTAGAATTTTACTGTAGATAAAACTACAGTGGGAGATCATTTAACCTTTTTCTCTCTCATAATATATTGCCGTGATTTCATACACCTTTCTATAAGCTATATAGTTGGTTATAGAAAGTAAGATAAAAATGCGGCGATCATATAAGATTTCCTCAAATTTTTCTTATAAAATTTCCGCTTTTTTTTTATTTTACATTTCATCAAAAATCAAATAAATTTCAAATAAAATTTTAAATACAGGGTGCTTTTAATCACTGCTCTCTTATTAATCGCAATTGCACTCAAAAATATGCAATAAACGTGAATCCTGAGAAAATTTCCTTAAATAATAATATTCTTTAGACTAGCGAAAATATTCCAAAAAGGTTACAAAAACACAATACCATTTTGAATATTATAAAATTAAACAAACCGAAAACAGGACATTGCAAAAATTTCTTGCTTTTATTTTTCTTATTTTTTTCTGTTTTTTGTTTTTTACTTCATGCATTTTGTAAATTATGAAAGCGCAATGAAAAGCTCCTTTAAATAAATGACTAAATTAACTTGCGCTTCCATTCCAATTAAAGAGATTTAATGAATTGCTCTTTTTTTTCTCTCTCACCACGGTATGGTAGATAATATAATGTTAAAAACCTACATCTATATTATCAAAAAAAAAAAAAATGTTTAAAATTTATTTACAATTTGTGTAACTTAAAGAATAATTTTATTTTTGTTTTTATTCTCTTTATAATAAAAATAAAGGATAATAACATTGTAACGTTAAGTGAGAGCAATAATATTTTAGTAACCATAACATTGAAGGATTAAAAGGTAACATCGTTGAAATTTATATAGAAATTATTTTTTTTTTAAATTTAACTACTTAACACGTAAATGTAAAATGTAAACGAAACTATTACAGAAAAATAAACAACAATGCTTTTTGAATTGTGAGAATGGGAGAGATAGAATGAATGATAGTGGGTAGAGAGGGGTATAAAATAGATTTGTTTACTGCGATTGCAATTTACAGTAACAAAAATATACCTTAAGTTTATTATGTGATAAAAAAAGTAAACAAAACAAATGAGAGTGAAAAAAATGTAAACAAATCTTAGTTTGTAAAGTACATTTTTCTTTTTGAGCAAGGAAAAGAGTGGAGCGGAAAATCTCGGAACTATGTAGGTAGTTTAACAAATAAATTTTTTTAGAGAGAATAAATTTTATTAACATTTTTTTTTCTCATTTTTCTATTATATCTCCTACGCTCTTTATGATTTGCTTAAGCAAAATTTAGAGTGTCTAAATTATTTAAGCAAAAATTGAGCCGAAAATAAATTGCAATTAAATTGTGAGCATAAATTGTTTGTCGTACTAAAAAGTAAGTAATACCTGTGGTCATACTAGAAAGTAAGAACTACTTAAGATTGTGAATACTGCTCGTCTGGTTTGCTACCTAAATTTCCAATAATATTCGTATATATGCGGTAAGAGAAAGAGTGCCGTGCTTACAACAGTGTTACGAGTAGTACCACTTTTTGTCAATTTCTTTCTAAACTAAACTAAAATAATCTCTAATAATTTTATCAAAAGACGGACGGAATAAACCTTTGATAATTTTGAGGGATGAAAAAATATTTTATTTCTAGTTTTATTTTTGTGAAAATATCCTGAGAAAAACAAAAAAACAAACAACAAAAATCTTAATAAAATAGAATAAAACGTAAGCATAAAGTTGACATTTAAAGGAGTGTCAGAAGTAATACAGTAAAATGCTTTTTAAAATGTTTACATTGTCCTTCAAATGAAAATGGTATTTACCCATAATATAATAAAAAAAAAAAATAAAAATTAAATAGAGTTCTCTATGTAGTATAAA